AGTTTGCTGCTTATTCTACATTAAACCTTGCCAGTGGCCATGCACTTGACAGCACTGCTTCCCAGCTACCGGAGAGATCTCTGTGAGTGTGAGTGGCTGAGCAGGTCTCGTGACGGCCAGTCGCCTCAGCTTGCCTCACACAGACATCGTACCCTCCCTCCCTCTCCCTTCAAGAGTACCGCACACTGCCTCGCTGCCAGAGGTGTGTGCGGGGGCGGAAAGGGCAGAATCCACATTCCAGAGCATCACCAGAGCACACCTCCACAGACTGTGGGCGAGAGCAGTGGTCTGGCATTCACCTTCGTGCTATTGGAAGCCATGCTCTCTAACCTTGGAGTTTAATTCTGGTTTCTTGATGATATCAACTGTCTAAATAGCTGCAAGGAATCCTTTCTCAGCCTTTTGTTCTGGGCTGTTCTCCACTCTCAAAAACAAAACTTACAAAAAATATATGTGTTACACTTCCGACTGAAAATATGTTTGATGTAATAGCATTTTAATTAAGGGGGATAATTTGTTTGGGTAATAATACTTGTCACATCAGATATTCCTCAACTGACTTCAACATCGTTCTTTTTGCAACCGAACGGCTCATCTTCTTGTAGTTAACGAGGTCTAACAATCTAACATATTTTAAAAATAATAAAACAATCAGATACATGAATATTAATGCCAGCATAAAAAGACAGACAGTTGAACCATACAGCTAATGAGGATGAATAACAGACTTTACCAACTAAATTGCAGGTCTAATAATATTTATCATCCTTAACTTTTGTCATGGTTTCTTTCTTGCAATTAATATTACACATAAAAGCACTTTACACTTAGATGAGTTACCCAGCTCATCTAATAGAAATGCAATTATAGAGAGTAAAATGTGGTTTATGTTAATTTGATTCATTGCATTCTGACTTTTTAATCCCTCCACTGTCACACTGCAGAAACACATTGTTTTGTTGATGGTAAGTAAACTGCCATCTCCAAGGAATCTCCCTGTCACACTCCAACCATTTCAAACCCCTATTTGCCAAAAAAACACATTAGCTAAGCTGCGCCTCTCTAAATTGTCTTGTCCAGGTCAGTTTCAAATAGGAGAGAGTGAGCGTACAGGTCCAGGGCTCTTACACTTGCTTTTTGCCAAGAAACTGCCCGCTCTTGACAGTGTTATCTGAAACAAGACTGTTTGTTTTTCTCCGCACAAGAGGGGAGAAACTGGAAAAAAAAAGAATCGAAAGCAGGTCAGTGAACCATATTAGGACTGTGCCATGTTTCCTATTAGTTTTCTTTTTAGCCTAAGAAAACCACCAGTCTTCCTGACCACCAGCCAGTTTTCTCGACTCCTGAATTAATGACTAACAGGGCTTGAACTTTCTCTTCGCTCTCCATCTATCCCTAACTATCCGCAGCTCTGCTAACGAGTCAGTCTCCCCAGGCTACCCCCTGGCTGCAGTCCCATTTGTGGTGATCTGAATGATGCACACACTTGTAGACCTAGTACTGCAGAGACCCAGAAAAATTGATTTCTGGATCATTTGTTGATATATTACAATGTATTACATGTAACCATTGCAAATTATTCATATGCTATATATACACACTATATTGCCTTTAGAAATTGTTGAATGCTCATTCACCCCAGCAAGTAGCTGCTGATACTGTATGTTCTGGTGGATTTTGACAGAGATAAAACATGAAAGTCATTTAAGATTCTTCCTAAATGCCATCTGAAAACAGCCAGAGCCGGAGCTGGTTGTCGCCACGCCATCCACTTGTGTAGCTCTTTATCGCTAGTTAGCTAGGCAGGCCAACACCCTGGGTTATTTTTCAATCAAAACTGAAAACATTTTTATTTTTCTTTAAATAAAACCTGATTTAAAATATTACTTTTTTTTATGAAGGCTATGCTAGCCACAACACAACGTTCAACGTGCGCTCTTACAAACTGCATTTTCTATTTGATATACATATAAAGGGCAACCATTGAGGTTTGGTTTGGGGCCTGAAACAGGCCTAATTCGAGGAATCACTAAATTCATTAATGTTTTGAGCAACTCCTTCACTTGAGGCTGGTTATACGTTTTTTTTATTTTAATGTATAACACTAATTTAATATACAAGGGGGAAAAAAGTTATGGCTGTATCATATCAGTATTTTCTAGTACTATAAGTATTATTTAATCACTAAGAATGCATATTAGTACTAATTAAGAACAGTATTACAGTTCACATATCATAGTAGTTTATTCTCTGCTGCCATGATGTGTAATTGAATGTTGATTCAGAAGCCCCAATTCACAGCTGAGAGAAGTGCAAAATGCCCTCACCAATAATAACAGGAGCAGGAATAATATCCCTGCTCTAATGAAAAGTGCCCTGGAATCTTTTATGACCAAATATTCAGATTTTTGGTGTCAAAGCAGGTACTCTGATCTTCTCTGATCCCAGACAAGTCTGCTCACAACTAGGATGGGGGTCCTCTCCAGACAGCTAGGTTATGGCAGTGAGTGGTGTTGGTGGACAAGCAATAACTACAGCTGGGTAACACTGAGGTACACAACACGAATAAGCTTTTTATAAGGTCTCTCATAAAGCATTCTCAATTTAAAAACCATGAAGATCCAAGGTCATCTATGCACATCGATAGAGATCTGATAAAACGAGTATCAGCATGTCTTCAGAAGTATAAGATCAAACTTGGCCGATGTAAGCACTAGAGTACCACAGGGATCGTTAATATTCCTGATCTATATGAATTATTTAGATTCTTGCATATGTAATAAACTAGTTATTTTTAAAGAAGATACAAAATGAGTGGGAATTGGAAACAGAAACAGAGGCAAGGGACTTGACAAATGGAATTTAACATTGGTAAATGCAAAGTAATCCACATTAGCATTAGGAACATACTGTACACTGTTATGTGGGTGATTCAGAAATTAAGAAAGCTACACAAGTCCTCTGAAAAAGGATCTTGGTGTTGATGTAGATTTTTCCACATCATCATAAAGACAAAGAGTGGAAACGATAAATGCTAACAGAATATCCAAATCTACAAAACACCGTGTTCAGTTCTGGTCGCCATTACACAAAAATAATTCTTTACTCTTTGAAAATAAATTAAAGAGCAACAAGAGCCCAACAAACCCCTTTTTTATCTGCAGCCCCTCATGTTCTATGATCTTATGTTCTCCATGCAATAAACTAGTGAAAATTCACTCCATGCTTAGTAAATCTTTAAAAACACATTTTCACAGCTTTGTCTCAATTCAAAACCAAGTTAAATTTAGAGAACTGAGGACCACTGATGACAGTTAGTCTTTTTTATGCTTTTAAAATAGTCCATTAATCATTAGAACTGCTTTAATCAAGTGACTAGGTCTTGTCTCCTTCAGGCTTTCACATTAGTTAATATCTTGTTTTTCCAGGGTTGAATTTATATATAGTAACACAAAAGCAGCCTCCTATAAAACAGTTAATCTTTTAGGAGTTACCAGTATGCAAAGGGAATAAGAAAACACTTGGGAGCATTAAGACTGAGGGGAGCAGCAGCTCTTCAGTATACAGCATGCCACAGGAGCCCTGCTGGGTCTGTTTTTGTGTGTAGCCTATATTCCAGAGCCCTTGCCTCACACAGGCACAGTTTTACCTGGGGTGTAATATGACATTGAAGGAACATGCATTAGGAAAGTGAAGCTGTGGGCACTGAAATAGTGCTTAAATAGGCTTTGATAGTGTACGGGGAGTCATAATAAATTGATATACCCAGAAGACTCCAGTTTTATTGCATGAGGTAAACAAAATTCTCGACATTGACACACACACAAATAAACGCTTACCAGCCCTGGTTCAAGTCTAGCATCTAATCTCTGCCTCCATCAGATTCAGCCTCATTAAGATGCACTTAGAGGTGTCCTTTGCCGTGATTTCACAGCAAAAGTGTGTGATCTCCTAAAGCCTAGTTAACCTAGTTAACACACCTCTTCCTAAGACTAAGCAATATTATCCTCTAGTCCCATTATATATAAGCAGAAGGGCTAATCGAGTCCCAAAACAGTGCTCATTGAGGAACTAGCTATTTTTAGAGTATGTCCATTATTCATCATAAGCATGAGCATGTAGCACTGAGAAAATTGCTTATGCTTTTTGCCATTTTTTTAAACTGCATAATAAATCCCTGGAAAAGGAAAGCTGCCCTTCTAGAGCAATTTACTTTGGCTGAAGCTAGTATTCTTCAGCATACAGTCATTAAAAAAAAAAAGACAATCACGTTTAAGCATTTGTTTTAAATGCTTAGTTTGCACACCTGGATCCCTACTAGCTATAAACACATCTGGCATGGATGCAAAAAAAAAAACAGGAGGCAAAAGGTGAGCAGCCTGTATTTTAGAGCAAATACTCAGTTCAGGATTTTATTATATTTATTATAAAAATAAGGCACAAAATATGGTTAATGTTTTGTCCACATGTCCACATAAAAGTGCTACTACCACTTGAAACCACTATTCTAGCATAACATTGCATAGAACAGATCTGGAAGGGAAATATGATTTAAATCTTATGTTCATAGACAATGTGAAATGTTCATAGACATATCTGCATGCAGAGTATAAAAATATATTCTAGAATAGTTTCTAAATGATCTAAATATGATCTCGTAAGATATTCATACTAACATGAAATACACTTGCCAAAATGTGTTCTTGTACAAATTCCTATTTACTTTGTTGGAAATACACTATATTTTATTTCACCTTGGACATGGAACAATAAAGCTTAGCTGCTTACAAACTGAATGGAAGGAATCCCAAGTCCAGTGTTTTTATGGGTGTTCCGAACTTGAATTTACACAGAAAAGCATTTGTATTAGAAAATAATTTTAATATTGCTGCAAATTTTACCGGTTTCTCGGGTCAGGAAGGACAGCAGGCTGCTGATTAAGCCTGAGCTCTTTTCTTGGCTGTCTTACAATGCAGATAGCTCAAACAGGGCTGCCGGAAAGGAAAAAAAGAAAAATCAATGCTAACAAATGAGTGTGGAGATGAAAGGAGTGTGCAGCCAGGCCCAGCGACAGATTATCTATAGAAGTGCCACTGACACCAAGTAGCATCACTTACGTAATTAAAACCACAGACATTTGCAAATGAAGCTGATATTGATCGTCGGGCAAGTGCCCAAAGTCTCCTGGCTCCCACAGCCCCCAGGGAGCTGGGACACGGGAGAAAAGCTTACAATGAGTCCCTGTGTTGCTCATCCTTCCAGCTGTGCTGCCCACGCCATGCCTTCAGAACTCAAAAGCGTGTTTTAGTCACCCATACAAACACTCAAATATTTTTTTTTCCCCCCCATGAGCACCTTCTTGTATTGTAATGTAATTTGTAGTAAAAGATATGCCTCGCACAACACCCGCTCCCCTCCAAGACTGTGCCACCTAAGAACCCATAAAATAGGATCAAGCATCAATAATCGAGCCCCCATTAAACAGTCAGACGTTCTTCATAAAAAAATGTCAAGACAGACCAGGAGAGGGATTGCAGAAACAAACGTAGTCGCACACATTTTTTAGGTGCGGCAAAACTAGGTAGAGCAGTCGTACAGTATCTTGAAGTGTGCAAGTGGATTTAAACTACAGGAGTATCACGGCTGGACATCACGTGACCAGGGTGGTGGTGGTGGTGGTATGGCAACTCACCACTGAAACTCCTGTTGCTCAGCCCCTCTCCGTTAGGTTTTTAGTTTCTCCACATATTTTGATTTTTGCTTCTGTTTGTATTTGTTTCTTGGGCGTGCGTCTAGCACTGTAGGCAAGAAGATATGCCATTTACTCTTTAGAGGAGCATTCTTGTTTTGCTTGTTTGGCATAGTAGTACTCCTGCTAAAGAGTAAAATTAAGTAGCTCACTTCTGTTATTCTGCATCTTCACATTGTGCAGTTGCTATATACTATTTATTTACTCTAGATGTTAAAACGGCTTCCAGACACTGTATGTGGTTCTTGACATGCATGACTAATGTTTCTATTTTCTCCTGGAATGTATATAGTCTTATTTTCTAAAATATTGTATTAGCTTTTAGGGTTTTTTGTTTAGGGGAAATGTACAGTACAGAGAAAAAATATATAATTTGGGGAATTACAAGATCTTACCATGATATTCTTGTCCTAAATAACCAAAAGGATTTTAGATTTAACAATGCAATGTATTCTGAGACATAATGGTGTACTGTATGTATTTGAAAAAGATGAAAAATGAGCAATTAGTGTATGTGAAACAATAACTAAACCCCTAGCTGACCTATCACAAGTAAAGGGGTAATGAGAATCAGGTGGTTAAATATTTGGTAACAGGGACTGAGTTTGGACAGTTACCGCAACTGTTTCTTTGTTGGAGAAGAAGTGCGAGATGGGATTAGCTTTTCCCATGCCTCCCCCATCTCCTACACAACTAGGCGCAGAATCTAATAAAACTAATAGTGGGAGAATCAGAGAAGGAGGGCCTTGGGCTAACATAGTGGTGCACCGCTCTCTTGATCTCCTGCTACAGATTTCTTAGCAGTGGGTCTCCTTGTGTAGCACAAACACACATTTAACACCTGTATTGACCAATGCCGAGTTGTGCTGGTCATATTTAATTCTATCGTCGTGGAACTGTCAATGCGAATTAACTGTGCGTCTATACCAGTACTGGAAACACTGAAACAAAACAAAATGCAGCCGATGCTCTCGTTATGTGTATTTTCTTCCCAAAAAATACATTTAAGTGTACTGTATAAACAAACACCTGATGACATCCATAGCTCTAAACCAGTCTGCAACAAATATGCTTTAGGGATGAAAACCAGAGACAAAAATCTTTAAAAATGTAAAATTGAGCCACATCATATAAATATTATAATATACGTGATACAGTGAACTGTGACATGCTGTACATTTAGAATTCACGACGAAGAAAAGGAAAGTGTTTTAGCTGTAACGTTAAATCTCCTGTATGTTTTTTTTAAGCGAGGCACAAACTGAAAAGTAGGTTGTCATGTTGTAATAGGAGGCGATTGCCGAAGGATGGAAAGTGAAGTAAATGAAAAACGCAGGGAGAGGTGGGAGTGAGTTGCCTGTGGTGCCGGGGGAGACGAGAAGGCTGTGTCAGCCTGGCCGTAGCTTCGGGACTTGTCTGCTGGGAGCTGATTGCGCTCTCTCATTATCCAGCCTGTGCAGCTAATGGAGTGTGACAGCAGCATGCAGTGTGCTGGAACACTGTCCTTCCACCCCTTAAAGCCAATTAAAACCTCACCATCCTGCATTCCCGAACCTCCCTTTCTCCTCTGTCGAGCTACAGACAATCCAAAGCTCTGCATATCTCCCCAAACCTTGCTTTTAAAGCCAGTCTTCCATGGGGACTTCGCTGGGAACACTTAAAATGCCTCAGAATACTGACAGCTTAGCTCAGTGACAAGACTGGACTGAAAACAATTTAAGAAGGGGAGAACGGAAAATGTCCACTATTCTGAGAGATGGCAGAAGCCTTTTAACTTCTATTTCCCACAGAATAGCCTGTGTACTGTAGGCTATTAACACAGTAAACCGCTCACTTTTTGACACACAATGCACGCTAAGAACTAGACACATACAGCACACACATCAGCAAGCCCCAAAATAGACTAATCATTTAATTGCAGTGTATTTGGCAAACACTTGGAACTTAAATACAAAAATTACAGCATTCTAATATGTTGTAACACTGTTTCAGCACCTTGGCACATTGAACTCATCTGTGGCAAACGGGGAGGGAACATCATCAGGTTTCACAGCAAATCTGGATCTGTTTATAAACAAACACGAGGGCTACTCATAGGGGAACGTCTCCGAGATGTGTGCAGAGGAAGCAGGAGACTTTCAGCTGCATATGAAGAGGTAAAAAAAAAACCTTACTGTGAAAAAGTGCAGCAAGGAGCATTTTGTATGTCCATATTCCCCAACTGTCACTTCCCACAAAAATAATCTTTATGGCTGCCATCAAGAAGATAGGTATAGACGCGTTAGTTGCCAGAAGAACTTGCATAACTTTCGATACGATGAAGCACAACTCAGGGGACAGACTGTCAGTAACGGTACCTGTTTTGAACCAGCCGTCAGCAGTGAAGGAGTCCCTGGTTTCCTCTGGACGGTTCCAGTACTCTTTAAAGACAGAGGGGCCCCGGACCACCAGCTCTCCTTCCTTTCCTTCCAGACCAGGCCTGACCTGGAGCCAGGAACGAAAACCAACACAGCACACTGACCGACTCCCTGCACCTGGAGATACCCAGCAGCTTCCAACCAGAGCTCTGCTCTCAAAACGCGCGCGGCTGCTTGATCTCGCACTCTTTTGTCTACTGCAACTAGCAAAACAAAACATCTCTACATGATCCGAATTGTTAACACTACTTGTGTAAAGATATCTGAAAAATACTTGGACTCAGACAGAAAGAAGAAGAGTCGAAGAAGAAACGAGTCCTTCAGCTGATCCCAATACTTGATTTCCCTGCTAGATGTTATTTGACTTGAGGTTTCCTGCCCCAGAAGGTTTTGCGAATCATCGCCCTTGTGCGGTGTCTCAGCAAATCAATTTATTAGACAAATCTTAAAGACAGTCTAGAACAATCTATGTTGTGCACTGGCTCCAATGGGAATTTTTATTACCTACCTACGTAAACACTATGTGAATCACTACTGTATGTACGCTGTACACTACAAATTTAGGAATTTAAGAAATTTCAAAATCTCATTTTCATATACAGTGGTTTCAATGTCATTCTTTAGGTCCCCTTTGCACTGTCTGCAGTAAGGTATTTGGATATATTCAAGCACCAGTTCTTACTGGAGATACAACACTCACCTGAGTCAGCCTGCAGTTACCTTCAGCGATGGTGGCACTGGAGATGTTGTGCATGAGGATTCGCACTTCGACTCCAGGCAGGGGGACACCCACAGAGCCTACACAACCAACACACACCAAGATCAAATCAACAGCTGATCGCGGCCCGGGGACCCCACACTGATGTGTGCTCGATCAATGCACACAGATACTGGTCACATCACCTTCAACTAATACACACGCTTAGCTCAGCAAGGCCTCTGACATGCAGAGGCAATGATCATCAACTATACTCAAAGCATTTTTAATCCCCTACTTCATGCAAAACGCTTTCCACAGTGAAATACATATCATAGACTATTGGTTTTAAGATGAGGAACAAGGAAGTCCAAATCTCACTACAACCTATTTGTTACTGGTGGAGTTTTCAAGGTACTGCCATGAAGATGCATCACTGTAATTACAGACAATGAATAAATCAGGACAGTCAGTTTTGCTTCTGATGAACTACAGTCCTGAATGGTTTATGGGACTCCAAATTATCACTGAATACCTAAAAATGATGTAATCCCTATAACTGAGATAATTAAATTATAAATAGATTGGGTAAAACAAAACCCTGAAGACTAGATAGCTCCAGAATACAGGCTGACTCATATACAGTAGACTGTAAGCTAATCCAGTGTATTTATAAACGGCAGTTACATCTCTTTTCCCTGTATATGCTACTATCAATGCAGCTCACACCGTATAGCTGAACTTTGAAATCGTTAATATACTTCGTTGTGATGAGTCTCCAAAGGTGCAGTGCTTTAGGGCAGCTGTCTTAGTCATGTTGATCTGCAGCAACACATGCAGTGCTGTGCTGCGTTATTCAAACTGTAGGCTAAATGATTTCTGAAAAAGCAATACTGTGCAGCAAAGGACTTCTGTATCTGCTCACCGATGTAGAAGGGAGGGCTGTATTAAAGCTGAACAAGCTGCCAATTTTCAGAAAACATTTCTTAAAATCAATAGAAAGAGGGTCAGCGAAAAAGAGGGCTGAAGCTCTTTCATATGAGGACTTAAGATGTTTGGCTTCTTTGTTTAACACTTTCTGCCCTTTGACACATGTCACTTTTAAGACTTCAGCTCTTTTCCCAGGTTGTTGACTTATAGTGAAAAATGTTTGTTTTTATTCCATTGTGTTTAACCAGGAAATGTGTATTTCTATCTTAAAATCTACTTAGGCACAATGACAAATCACAATAATAAGATGGGATTCATAATTAAATTAAATAAATACCAGCAAGCCACTGCTTGTGGTGCTCTGTCCGACAGAAAACTGCAGGACAGTTTTGATGCATATGAGACTGAAGTTAATAAGGTTCTGGGGAATTTAGATTTATAAGCAAATTCTACAAATGAATTACATCTGAAAATAAATGACTACAAACAACAGGGGATGTTAAAATATCACCAACTCCAGTTATTTAATTTAGGGTCCAGTATGAACAACTTTAAAACAATTCTTTAAGAAAAAAAATAGCTTAGCTCTCTCTGTTAACTGAATAGAGTGGGGGAAAGCCGTAAGGGAAATTAAAGCATCTGTACTGAGCGTTGACTGACAGTCTAAAAATAACAAAGTAAATGAGGCTCCGTCAGCATAATTTTCGCAGGAGAAATAAAAGCGCTTCACCAGAAATTCAACTTCGAGGTTTACTTAGAGTAAACTAGCTGCTGTAAATAAATGCACTTCAGTGGTGCTCCTGTTAGCAGCCCCGCGGTTGTGCGCGGTCTCTGGGGCGGCTGTGTGTGCGCGGCGGTGTGACCGAAGGAAGCTGCGCGAGTAGAGGAATGCAGGAGGGCCCCTCGGCGACAGCCTTGTCAAAGACACAATGAGTCCCCTGACTGCGCAGACGGCCATTAACAAGGCTTCATCAGCATGCCCATCTAAACCGCCAATTAAGGTGGCAGCAGCGATGGCACCGCCGCTGAATGAGCCCAGCCAGGCGGAACGCGGTGCGCCGCGCCCGCTCCTCATGAATTATTCACAGCCCTTCACATCGCGCTCTCTCGGCGGGGGCCCTGGTCCTGAGCAGCCCAGGGGTGGTCACCGCCGCCCTGGAGCTCTGCCAGAGGCCACACACACCGCTGGACACACAAGCCCCCTCCCGGCACCAACACAAAGCACAGAGAGGCGCTGCCTTCCTCTATTCACACCGGCGGAACAGACACGCAAACACCGCTTCCCCCCTACAACAGAGTGCAGATGAGCTCATGTTTGAAGTCGGAGGCAGCAGCATGCGAACGATCGTTCACACCATCTTACACAACAACAGAAACAACTATTTTAAAAATCTTCTGTGGTTCTGATCTAAAACATTTAGGAATTCTTGTTTTCTTTCAGCCCTGATGTTACAATTTTCAACAAAAAAAAAAACCTCTAAGCCTTCTTGCGAATGCCTAGTTTTCCACTTGGGTTGCAGTTTTGGTTCAGTGAGGTGCAGTAACTAAGCTATCCCTTCTTTTCTCAAAGCACCGTGGTGCTATTGATCTGGTTTAACCTACTTTAATAAGAAAGCCTCTCCTTCAGTACCACAGGCAGTTCACAGACTGCTAGAGAAACGTCAATAAAAGGATCGCTGAGCTAATTTTAAAAAGACTGGAGGATTCAAAATAAACCTAGTTTTTCACAGTGAAGAAACAATCAAACAATTAGTTATCTTTAAAATGAACTAGTGGATAATGGCATCAAATTCTTTTTGGTACTCTTTTGCTGCTTTAAAGCCCTACCATATGTAATTAATACATTCATCACAGCACAGAAAAGCAAGCCAATAATAGCTTCCAGAAACTGGTAAACAACATGCTACTTAAAAAGCAAGAGAAGAAAAAACAATGGAATTATAAACAGCAAAAAATGGCACAGGACATCAAACCGCGTAACAGCACACAGTCTGACAGGAACAATACCAGGTATGCGTGGTCCCTTCAGCGGGTTGGACAGCGCCATGCCGATTTCTGTCATTCCGTACCTCTCCAGCAGGGTGTGCCCTGTGATCTGCTCCCACCTCTCGAGCACAGGCTGAGGCAGGGCTGCCGACCCGGACACCATGAGCCTGAAAGAGAGGCCAAAGGTCACTGTGAGACTCTCAAAGGGCAAGATTACTTGAGCACTAGCTGTGCGTTTCAAAACACCCCTGGCACCACGCTGATAACACACTTCCTTTTACAGTAACACATTTATTTCGCTGCTACATTTTTCAGTGATTATCTACCCTTAACTGTAGAGTGATGCACTTATTTTCCTCTTGAGACTACTCATTGCATGCCCAAAACCTAGAATGTCTCAGTATACAACATCCTCTCAACAATCAACAAATTAAAACAAAGTTGTATAACTGCATATGAAACGCCTACAGAAATATGGGGATCGTAAGAATAATTTCATTGGTATGAGACAAGTTAATAAAAAATTACATTAAAAGTGCTAGCACATTGTATGAGTGAGTCTAGGCACTGCCTATTCAGTTCAGAGAGATGTGGGCAGAGTGTTAAATCAATGGATTCAACACAGACCGTTCAAGACAATCAAACCACAATGGGTATGGCAGCTGTCCTTCAGCATTAATAGATAGATAAGACTTTACTGATCCTGAAGGGAAATTGATGATGTACTGGGTATGCACAGATAAAATACTCACTACGTACAATACATTACTAGTCTATTGTAGTATATTGTAACTACCTGATTCTTTCCTTACAGACTGCCCTCACAAAGTCCTGCACATGATGCTGGGTGAAGTGGCGGTCGTAGTACTCGATCAGTTTGGAGTAGATGGTGGGCACGGCCATGAAGACATTGACACGAGGATCCTGGGAGCTCAGGAGGTGCTCCCACACCTGGCAGAGAGGACAAGAGGAAGACAAACAGGTACAAGGCATGACGACTGGGAAGAACCTGGATCAGGAAGTGTGCCGTGAGAAGACCTCGATTCTGTAATAATACCTAACTAACCTGCTGAACTCTGTATTCCTGTGTGAAGTGTGAATACCAAATCAGGCCATTAATGCTTTGAGCTGCCGCCTTATCTTCCTTGAACATCTCAATTCAATTGGAATTCACTGTAGACTAAGAAGGATTTCTTCACAGAAGCATGTCTTTTTGCAACTACACAGAGCGCATTTGATTTCTATGTTACAGTCTAAATTTCCTCATTCTTTTCTGTGCCTGCAAAGAAGCTTGGATTTTCAAGAGCATTAGTATTTTAAAAGTATTTCTGGGGGGTTTTGACAACATCCGTTCTGTCAGTTCTTTACTGCTTTCAAAACTTTCTTATGATTGCCCCTCTCCCTTTCCACCAAGTGTCGACTTCAATATAAAAATTAAAAAAAATGTTTTGTGGCAGAATGTGTTTACCCGCTCAGTCATGTAAAATAAATACAGTAATAGAAAGGATGCAAATACATCATTAACATTAAAAGCAAAAAGATAAGGAATTACTCTTGGTAAAAAATGGGCACAAAGAGGATTTGGTATTTATCATGATGAAAAAACACTTAAACGAATATACAGAATTCTTCTGAGCTCATTCTACCACCTTTTTAGCATGGCAGGATCTAAGAATCACAAGTAAACACAGAAACGTGACGTGCGGTCATGTCATCAACACAACACCTATATTTCAGAATTGAAGTTGTTTTTTTCCTCCGGCAGTGTATTATTTGGAGCTTTTGTGCCAGAACACTGAGTCACACACACAGACGTCCGCACAGTCGCGCGCGAACACCAACCCTCTCCCTTCCACACGCCCGGTGCGCGGCTCAGTGCACAGCCTGCGCACGCCGGGAGAAAAGCGCGAATTAATTGAAGGTGAACGACAGATTCTCCTTCTCGCGGTCCCCCCCGGGAGAAGACACGCTTCTCCCTCGGCCCACTTCTTTCTCTCTCCATTTCATTATTCCCCGCTTCGCTGCCTCTCCTCTTATCAGTCTTCTCCCCCTCTGCCTCTCACACTCCCCCCCTGCCCACTATTTCTTAAACATGTCTCATCGTCCTCTGCAGCTTCCCGTGAACTGCTCTCTCCCTCTACCTCTCTACACATGCCTTCTCGTCCTCCCTTTATAGTTAGATTTCAGCATACGTCAGAGAAGCACCATCTAATGTCTTATTGTCACCCCAATCCTAAAACCGGCCCTTTTCCTTCTCAGGGGCTCTGCCTGATCGAATGTCTATGAAGGGAAAGCAACACTACATGCACTGCCGGCTCCCCGTCTTTCCAAAGGGATCAGGGCACTGAGAATCCTGCCTTGTATCCAGAGTTAATGCATTGTTCACTGTAGCATTACATTTCTATGCACGTTTGCCATTTAAAGGAAACAACAACAAAAAATCACTCCTAAAAGACAACACTAAAGGGCTTTCTTGTTGCCATTCCACTGGTTGGAGAGGGTGAAAGGAAAAAGCTGGAAGTGGTTTGAAATGAGCCCAGTCCTCAGCTGGTATTTGGAATTTGTCATACTGACACTGGCAAATTGAGTGTTAGCACAATAAATCCCAAATATGTATTTGTGAGGCCATCCCTTTGTCTACTTTTTAATTTACCTTTAATTTAGGTTGTATTTGCCTTCAGATCTGCAGAAGAAGAACTAACAAAAAAATGTATATGTCTGTACCAAGTGCTAGAACTGTTTTCTGTGAGCAGTTCTGAGTACTGCGTTCCTTTGGATCTGGGCTACCAATCCAAATCGGAATTTCTTAACCAGATCCTTATAAAAAATTACCCTGCACTCTAGTACGGTTTTAGTACATTTATTATATTCCAGTATGAGTGCATGCCAGTTCGGACACTGATGTCTTCAAAGAAGACTGTGAGAAAAGGAGAAACGTGTTTAGAGCGTTTCTATTTGGTGATGTGTGGCAGCCAACACACCGAGCTGCCCCTGTATACAGCAGATCAGGCTGCTTCTCTGTACACCAGAATGCTTCATTCTCCACATATTAATAAAATCACTGTGTTTTATTTTACATAAAGTACATGTTTTACAACAGATTTGTTCTAGAGTCCGAAGAGTTCTACATGTGCTCTTCGTAAAGTGTGCAACACACACACTATGAGATGTGCATATTTTAAAAAGTGCCTTTGTCTGATGCTTTTTCCCCCAAAACGAGGATGGAGATGTCTTAGGTATTCCACAGAATATAGTTATAAAACCTTTTTTAAAAGCAAAAACAAGATTCAATCAGGTCTTAAGTAGTTTAATAAAAAAGTCAGTCAGTCTATGGATTGGACTAGGAAAACCAGAAATCTAAGAATGTTACTGGGAGAGATCCATGCTGTAAGGATATTTAAAATGACTGAAACTGCATATTTAGGAACAAACTGGGAAAGCCTATAGGTATAATGAAGAATAAATCAGAAAATGTCTCTACTGTATTTACCACATGAAAATAAAACACTACAGTGAATACAGAACAATGGTCACACTTGTTGATGTTTTAATGTGCGGTTTTGTGTTTGCGCACACCAGTCCATAAACTACTGCACATCATGAGCGCTCTAGGAACGGAGAACACCCCCGACATTAAACACAAGAGTTCAGAGATGAAGTGTTATTTACCCTCCGCTCTCTGTGCTTTTCAGGCCGTGTCTATCAAACCACTTGAGAGCTTCCCAGAGGAGGCACTCGGGAGAGAGAAAAAACGGCAATTTACATCCTTCAAAGGGCTAGTCTCACCTGGGAGACCTCGCAACCAGACCCACTGAAGCCTGCAGACTGTTAAGTACCCAGCCCAGTGCCCACTCGCACAGCTTTCACACCAGGACAGAGGCACACCTCCAGAACCAGGCCACCTGTTTCACACGCCAGCGCGGTCACATCTCATCCCGCCACATGTACACGCGCCTCCGGAGAATGAATCCGTGCAGCAAACCTCACAGCCACCCCGGAAAACCCTCTTTTCCTCCATGAAACCCCCATAGAGCAGCGGGTGAGTTGGCGAATGCTTTATATTATTATGAGACCAAGTATAAAAATAAAAAACACACACACACACAATAAAGACCACATTTCTTATTTAAAAAAAAAACAGCAGCCCAGGAAGAAAATAGGTTTAAAACGATTGACTAAAGTGCAATCCATCAATATCTATCCATGATGACACAGCTGACGAGTCAGTGAATATGCTGTATGCTTAACGTGGTGAGAAAGCTTCTCACTGAAGATTTTATGACTGATATTAAGTAGCCTTCTGAAAGGGAGTAAGGCAAGGACTATTTCACAAAAAGCCCATTATTATGAGAAGTCATAAATGTATCTTATTATCATTCATTAACACTGAGAATCGTAAGAGAAACTACGGGTAAGCTGATATTGCTTAGAGTATTGTAATAGTTCTGTGTTCCTTTCTCTGCCTCCTGTCCTTTGCAGCCCTTACCTGTCAATCACGCCCTTGGCGAAATCTCCTGGACCCCAGCAAACGCTCCCCTCCCCCCTCCAGTCTTACACACTCATTTCTCAATGTCAGCCCATCGATTGATTCGATTCTAAACCCCTTCCAGTGAGTTGGCGTGGTCAGATACAGAGTCACACCAGGCAATCCATCACAGGGACTCAAACGCTTAGCGTGACAAAGGGAAAGAAAATTCTACAGGCTGTCTCGGCGATCTAACCTGCGCTGCCGTCTCGCCACTGACCCGGGCCCGTCTTGTTTCTCGAGAAAGAGCTGGGCTGTCAGTTCAGAGTGCTGTATTGATGCGTGTGGTTCTGGCGGCTTGGAGAGCAGCCACAATTAGCTCAAACAACTGACAAGTAACCGATAAGGTTGAACATCAACACCCTACACAACTTCATTGTTTCAGGTCTTTACAGCTTTCTCTTCCACACATGCTGTTAAGGTTGACAACCTGAGCCGTAGCTTGCTTTCGCAGGAGTGAATAAAACAGCTGCCCAGTAGACCATACTACAATGATGATTAATAGTGAAAACTTTATAGAATAAATAATTACAATGCTTACAAGCTGCCTTTAAAAATGGCAGCGACGGCACAGCTTCTGCAATATTAACAATACAAGGGGGTCATGTACATGAGCAAAATCCATTCATTTTCATTAGCTACTTTATTATTAGAAGGTCGGGCAGCCGGAGAGTAACCTGGTAGGCTTTGTGCTCATAATACACAAAATGTGGTGATGCGATTTAACCAGGGCAGCATGTCTTTCATCTGTGACAGGAAACCAGAGAACCAGAGAAAACCCATTAACCCAGCAAACAGTGCAAACACCTCACAGAACATATCAAAACCTAATCATCCCACAATACTACCACTACTAACAATAGGTAGGGCAGTCCCTTTTCAGGCCATCATGGGGGATGGGGGGCGAGGGCCATCATTTTTCTTGACCAGCCGACACTGGAGGTGGAGGTGATGTGGTCAGCATCACGCTCCGGCCAGCCTATCGCCCCCGGAAGGATTAACCCCCGGTACTCATTTGGAAAGCAGGCTGAGTGGACCTGGGAGCTGTCCGCAATAGAGCACGCTACATCACTTGCCCCTACCAGGGATTGAACCTAGGACCTTCCAGTCAGGAGCTAGACGCCCTTGCTGTCTGAGCTATCACAGCTCCAATAATAATAATAATAATAATAATAATAATAATAATATTATCATCTTGTGAATAATAACTGTTTCTAACGGTACATTGGTGTGCATGCTGTTGCCCAGTTCCAACTGTGCAGTGGATTCACAGAAAGGACAGGGCTGTATGGGTTTAAAGGAAGTACCTTCTGCGGCTGGAATTCCGGGAGCATGACGCAGGTGGCCCCCGCCCACAGCGGGCACAGCAGCTTGTTGACGATGCCATGGACGTGATGCAGGGGCAGAGTGTGCAGAATGACATCATCCTTCGACCACGCCCACTCGGACACCAGGCACTGCACCTGGCGGGGAGACAGCGCCGTCACTGGCGGGAACAGCAGCCGGGGAAGAGGTGCCAAGCTCTCGTCCTGGAAGGTCACATGGGCTTCCAAACTAAACTCCCCATTCATGGGAAGCCCCGCCATTGCTCATTTAAAAGAAGCAAGTATTTATATTCGACGTGCAAAAAAAAAAATAGGACGAGACCCAAGGAAAAGTTTTAAGATATTAAATATGAATAATAATCTGAGAAGTAAGGTGGAACAAAAGCTAGAAAATATCTGGTTGAACCTACATCACATTCTTTTAGTGAATTACATACGGCTTTTTAATTGAGTCTAGTATTGGTTGCAATATGCTCAGAAATTCCAAGAAAGCATGTTTAATTACAATGCTGAAACTAAAAGAAATGTATTACATATATTAGTGCTAAACAACCTGAGGAAGGATATAATAATAATACCACTTATTTGATTTCAAAACCACTATACTATAGCACACACAATAAAACCAAAATCAAATTGAAAGAAAAAAAGAACAGGACACAGACTTAGTGAAATCATGAGTAATACCGAATTATGAAATAAGATAGTAAAAAAACATAATAAACTTAAAGAAAGTTTTGTAAATGTTGGCAACTGCAGAGTCTCTAATGAATTTGGGGAGTGAGCTGCTCATTAAGGCTCTTTACCTTCACCAGAGTGAGAAATCTGGAATCAGATCATGTCAGATTAAGGAACTACACTCATGCAAGTCCTCAAAATAATTTGGAGTAAGGTCATTCAGTGCCTTACATTTAAGAAAAAAAAAACTTTAAACTCCATTCTAAATTTCACAGGTAGCCAGAGCCATTTACAGAAAATGGAAGTTATGTGCCAATGCAGAATGATTTTAATTAGCACAAGGGCAGCTGAATTCTGGACTTAATAATCATATTGAGTACCATGGAAACTACCCCAGTAATAGTGATTAAATCACAGCATGTACAAGCTGAGCGATGGTCTTAATTGAGTTACAGAGGTGAACATAGGCTCTTAAACAATACTAAAGTCTGCAACTTTGTGAAGCTGATTTAAGTTTAACTAACAAAAGTTCTGATGCATACAAATCTTATTTTCTGACAGAAAGCTGTAAGGCGCAGGAACTGAGTAAAACACATAAAACTGAGTCTTATCAGCATAGCCTTGAAACTCAAGTCCATAATACTATAACCAACGATTTCAAGAGGCAGCACACAAATACTAAAAAGCACAAATTAAAGTATCCAGGCAAAAGCTACATTTCAATCAAGACGGTAAAAAATATTATGCAACCCTGAGTCAAAAGCCACTAGACATTATTAAATGGTTTTAAAAAGGTCCATTTCAGTGCTGTCCTCCCAAACCATGACTAAAAGTTTAGAAGATCTTATTAGATGAAAGGTGAGATTACAATTAAACGGCTACAACCCATTCCAGACTCTGTGAGAAAGGGCAAAGTGGAAACAGGATGGAAGTTGCCAAATACGCGACCTGACTTTTTTCAACACAGCTGCAACAGCAGAAAGCTTCAGCCCCCCGGCACAAGGCCAGATTTCACATCACTCAGGTCGAGGAGGTTAGGAACGCATGGACAACGAGCTGGGAGGCTAGCTTCCAGACAAATCCGAAACTTTACACAGCTCCGCTTTTCCAAAACGCAGTAAACTCTTGAGCTGTAAAAAGAACGAAATCGGTTTCTCTATTCATGGTGAGCAGTCACAATCAGAACCCAAAGGCCTCCCCCACCGTCTTCCTTACCATTGCCTGCAGGTTGCGATGAGTGTTTAGGACTCCCTTGGGTCTGCCAGTAGTGCCACTAGTATAGATAATCATGGCTGGTCTTTCTGCCCAGTCTCCGGTGACAGGACTGGACTCCTGTAGAGGCTTAAGGGAGTTTAGGCTGGAAGAGAGGGGAAGCTGCACACAGGGGAGGCCCAGCTTCTCTGCCAGGGGGCGCAGCGTCTCTGAGAAAGGATGTCCCGCTACAAGCAGAGAGCTCTGCGAGTCTGTAACGATGTACTCTAGCTCAGACAAGGGGTGTTTTCTGTATAGAGGTACAGCGATGGCACCACACATCCAGGATGCCCACAGCGCCACCACGTATGAGGCATCATTGGCACACAGAAAAGAGATGCGCTTCCCCCGTAGGTCACCAGAACCACAATCCAGCACTTCTGCAATCCGCCTGGACAGACCCAAGCTGCTGCTGTAGAGATCCTGGTAGCTGTGCCTCCCACTGACATCCACTATAGCCAGCCTGTCCCCAAAGCGTGGAGCTTGGATGAATACTGGGGATACTCCGCCATTCCATGCCAGTCTCCCTCCGTGCAGGTATGCCCTTCCCAGCCTACTGCCCAGCAGCACTCTCAGGAAGCCCTTCCGTCTCGCATGTTGCGTGAGTGCGAGACTTACAGTCCTGAGCACAGTCCGACTCACAGGCAGCTGAAACATTGTTCAGGTGGCCGGTGTGACTCCTTGGTGACCTCATTCAGACGCCTTTCTGATGCTCATCATTTTTTTTTGTTTCAGAACTGAAAATTAAATGGAAAAGAAAGACAAAATGTTGGATTGAGTGCAACTGAACATGAATTAATTTCTCATGCAAAGAGCAGTGTGGTAACTAACAGATATCTAGAGCCTCTACATTCATTCAGCACTTCAATTTACTTGCATAGAATTTCGTATGGAATATCATTCCATGATTTATATCTGACTCTGCCAATATTAGTGTAAGCCTGGCAATTGTTCTTACAGTTTCTACTACTGCTGATTTCCCCCCCGTTAGCCTGTTTTTATTTTCCAGAGGCCGAAATGTTAATTTCACCGACGGCCTAATGAGGAACATTTTTGCAACTCTGTTTTAACTCACTGCTGGACAAAGCAGAGCAACACACTTTTTGTCGTGCAAAGATGGAGGCAAGCCCATTGTGTTCCGCTGTGACTGAGTCTCCAGGCTGGCACATCCTCTCAGGGCTGTGCAAGGAAAAGACAAAGACGGAGGGAGCCGGGCTGCCCCAGACAGCGAAAGGCAGGCGCACCTGCTGATGCTATGAATCCCCGCTGTCACTGACAGTATCACCTGCTGCTGTTCAGTGGATACCTTCAGCTCCGCACTCGGCACTTTCTGAGAAAAACACCCCATTCCTTTCTCGAGAAGAAAACAAGTACGCTCTAATTAACAAAGTCGAGGAAATTATTAATGAATTAGCCTTACACTTAACATCTGAAACTTACGAGCATTTGTATCCAGTTAAAGAGCTGTGGATTTTACTGCAACAAACGGAATGAAGTACCTTTTCCCCAAGGTACAAATGTTGTGGGGCCCCACAATCCTTCAGTTACAATTCCAGAGCCCAGACCACTGTTCCACTCTGCAGTCTGGTGTCCTGTAAGCCTACAGTAGTTCAAATATACCTTCACATCCACACGTAATCCTGCATATCAAATTAGTCCACTTAGTGGTGCCTACTCACCTCCAGGAGTATTACTGCCACGATATTTAAACTTCGGTAGTAATAACCGACTCTTTATTTTAGAGCGTGATTAACACAAAACATTCGTCAGCACCGACTACTATTCCCTCCTATTCCCTCAAGGACGCCTAGGCGATAAAACAATAACCTGTTCTTATAAACGAACGATCCTTCGTATTCCCGAAGATAACGTCTCTAGGCTAGAAAAGTACTTTTTATTTTAGAGTCTATATTCTCCAACGTGCACCTCTCAGAACAGTGCAGGTTAAAGCCAGCGCAAATCACAATATCAGACTTTATCTTTCTGTAGTTAGGGAAAGTTTTCAATGCTTCTGGTTTGAAAATTGAAGATTTATTACAATACTTAACATCCTCTTTACATATATTACAAACAAATAACAATAACCCAAAGTCATTTTTACTTATTTTCACCTTACCATTCAAAGTCCTTGCAACAACGAATTCTCCTGTGCACGGTAAATACAATCCGTGCGGAAACTTTTCTACCGCAAATAAAGTTCTTACAACGGGAGATCGTGACTGCTACATTTTTTACAAGGAAATAACTGGAATTCATGACTAAGATAAAGGGATGCTTACATCTGTTCTATGTTGCCCTGGGTTATAGGGGCACAGCTGTTGTATTTTTACAAAAAATAATGCAAAGAAGTGAGTATTTTATTGCGTTTTGTAATGAATATATCTTGCACCTGTAAATGTAAGAAGTCTACATTTACAAGTTTCCACAGGATTTGTCAACCCAACGGGTGACTATTCAGACTAACACAGGAATCGGACACTCCTTCCCAGGTTGTTGGGGCCTGAGATATCTGGTTATGTACTGTGCCATCTGGTCATGGTGATCTCTCTACAACATCTTGGGGTCTCAAAGTGCTATACGCCCAACCCCGCCCCATCCCCAGTAATTAATATCAATGTTGCATTTCTTCATGTCTGCTTTCACTCTGTTTTTGATACACTTCTACTGGTGTCATTGCTTTGGCTAACCTGGGAGTGCAGACCCATCTTTCAGAGTCTGCAATCTAACATGTCTCTTGATCAACCTAACAGACATGTTGAGTGAGGATCACAGCTTCAGTGCTGGTGCTGCTTGAAAAGGAACCCTGATGCTGATTCTGTGTCTTCACTCTTGATACAGTAAATATTCCATGATCAGTCCTTGGAATACAAACCCATTCTTTTTGTACTGTGAAGTGGGTCCTGTATTACAGACCCCTCCATTATAGCAGGACTGATGACAGCCAAATTTCATCAGTATGGTTTCTGGGTACACACATAATTAAATATAAGCCAAACTCAGGTCTCACAGTAAACTTTTGTGCTTTGTGGATTCCCACTTATGTTTATTACCATTAGTTTCCAAGGCAGGTGGACTATCTAGTGAGAAGACTTTGGCCATTGGGGAGTGGGGCTCACAGGCCCTGTAGTGTAAAAAAATCAAGGCTAATGGGGAAAGAGAGTCAGGGCCAAGTCTTCTTACCAGGACTCCAGCCTGCCAGCTCGCTCTGGCTCCCCAACACAGCGCGGGCACACACAGCCACCAGCTGGCACTCGCGTGCTTCAGACAGGATTGTTCAGACATGGCACTCGTTCAAAAAGTTTTCCGTTCCCCAGACCCCTACGCTAGAAATGAGAATGGCATGTTCCTGAAAACTGGGTACTGAGCCTCAGTGAATCCCCTCCAGTAGAAGAACAGTATCATCAAGGAAAGCTACCTCCATGAGCCAGAGCTGGATCACTCCCTGACTTAGTTTCTGCCAAAGTATTGAAGGTTGTCTTTTTTTTGGCTCAGAAACGGGCATTGTAAAATCATAGCCATGAAGACTTTTCCTCCTCCTCTTCACGCTACTAGGATCACACAAGTCTAAACTTGGATTTCCTGTTTTTTATTCATCTCTCGGACGTTTAAACGTTTATTCCGGAGGTCTGCAGAAAATGCAAGAAAATCGTCTTTTTTCACACATTTTGTTGTGCAATAGAAGAATTACCAAACAAATACAGTCTACAGGCCGGACTTCGTGTTCTACAGCGGGCAGAAGGTTCTGCTTGCCTTACCCAGGTCAGTGATAGGCTTTGAGCTCCTCTGAAGCAGCAGGGAGCGAAGCGCAGTTGCATTGTGGGAGAGCCGGTGCCAGCATGAACAGAGGCCAGGTTTCAGGGCTGGCAGCCAGCTCTGCCTCACGCCACTTAAAAGCGGGCTGGCTCGCTGGCCGGCAGCGGGCGCCAGCGCTGCTCTGACTGGAACACAGCACCCTGGAAGCGGTGCGGAGGAGCGGTGGGCGCGAGGAGCCCACTCTTCCCAGAAGGGGAGAGAGCCGAGAGCGGAAATTGTTGGAGTGCCAGAACATGTGTCGGGTTGGCGCCAGATGAGAGTGCCTTGGCAAGCGCCTCGTTCCCCCCCCCCCCCGCCCTGCTTGGAACACATGGCACGTCGGCGGCATCTGGCCGCGCTGACTCTCAGCAGCTGCGCTTTGTCTTCGCCAGTTGGGACACTTGGCACTGCCACTTCATCAACTACCTGTGGCTCTCCCGGCGTGGAGGGGGCTATGAATTATTCCACGCTGCAGCTGCAAATCTGATTTCTTTCCAAGAGAAACAGTATAGTAAACAGAGGACTGCCTCGTGCTACATACAGTACGCTGTAAACAAGCTGCCTCTGTTGTGAAATTTCAGCTTCGGTGAAAGTTGTCCTATGTACTGTATGGGGGGACAAACACGTTTCTATTCTATCGTTGAGTATCTCAATGCACTTCTTCACAACATGGTGTTGTGTAATATATCTAACACCTTATTAAATGGAGGCGGGGAAGAGTAGTGGTTAGGCCGTCTGGTTCTAAGAGCCTAAAGCTCAAATCCTAGATGGAAATATGGCTGTTGCACGTATCTACAGTATATACTTTCTCCCAGAAAGTGCCAGAAAACACAGCTGCATAAATTGCTTTCAAAATTGGAACACAAAATCTGATCTCCATCATACTTTTCCTTGAGCTTGAGTTGATACAGTATACGGTTTTCTTTAAAAAACACAAGGCTACTTGAAGCATTTTTCCAGAGCTGGTGAAAAGTGCTCGGTGATGGAGTAATGGAAACTGAAATGGACTCTCCAGAAAGCAAATCTAGGCAAGGGAGTGAGAAATATGATCTCATGCACTGTTCCTGACCAGTACTTCCCTACTTTACATCTTCAAGGCAATGTGGAGCCATGAAAAGCAAACAAATATCAGGATCCACAGTTAAAGATTTAGGATCAAACTAAGCAATACTAGGTTAATTTGGTGCCATGGACAAGTAACATCTCATTCATAATATTACGTACAATTTTGTTTACCCCGTGACAAAAAAAGATATTGCTGCTTTGGTGTAAGTCCAATGAAAGAACTGAATCTTTTCAGTCTTGAGCTGAGAGGACTATGAAGGCACGAGGGTGGAGTAATCCGAATCCTCCTAAGCAATGACAAAGTGACCCTAAAAGACTTCTGGTGAAACACAAACCAGAGGACACAGGAGGAAATGAGGGGAAGTTCATTTATATCTGAGAACAGGAATAATACTATTTTTTTCATACAAAAGGCTTAAAGGCTTCAGGAGTCTGAATGGAGCTACCCAGGCATATTGTTGAAGCTGAGAACCTGGTTTCTTTCAAGAAACAGCTGGAGAGGATCTTTTTATCAGTTACAGTAGTTACTTGGAATTAAATGACCTAAATGGATTCAATGGCCTCCTCTTGCTTGTGATCTGTCTCATGTTTGTAAGTTCTTACAAAGCTGAATCTGAATGATCTGCACTCCCTCTTCTCTCCTCCTGTCTGATTTTGCAGGTGTTTGACAAGTCCACATACAGTACATTACTTTCTGGTGTTTCTGGCCTTTTCATACTTTCATTTATGACCCCTGTATTAAAAAATGATATAACTTATCACAGCTTTAGTTTTTTTACTTTACAGTATATGTTTCTGGTAGTCCTGCAATAAACTTAATTCTCCTTTTTTAAAAGAAAGTATGTTTGTAAGAAAGCAAGAATAGACTCTTTTTGAGTCAAATGCCTTATTTTTTAAACACATCCATCACTAAAGTATAATTATTACATGTAAAAACTCCATCCTCCGCAATGAGGTGAGAAATCTGATCTTGCAGCAATGAACTCCATTTCTGTTTCTGTACCTGCTGTGCTAGTGTTCAGTTCAAGGAGTAAAGGCTCCTTTGCTGTTTTCAGAAAAACCATTGTGATGTTAACAAGGAGAAAAAGAGAGAAAAACTCTTTACAGAGCTTCGTCACTGAGATGGGAAACAGCGCTATGACAGCATAATTGAAGAGAATATCTTTGCTGCCTTACAATGAAACTAGTCAGTGCTATTTGGTATGTTTTAAGAACCATCACTCTTTTCTTTTCAACAGTTACTCTTACAGAAAAAAAAACATATGTTCTACAAACTTAAACTATCTCTGATGTAATTGCATTCCTAAATAACCATGATGTTCCTTTTATAGTAAGATTCCTTGCCAAATCATTGCTCTCTCCTTTTCCTGAAAGCTTCTTTTTAACTTTGATGAAAGTTATAAAAGCTTTACTACAATCAGTATAAAACAAACACCAGCTATTCAATGTCTAATATATTGGTATATTTCAACAGAAATGAAACAGTTAAATTAACCATAGCTAAATCAAGTCTATCAAGCACTTGTGACTGTTGTGTTCAAAAGAGACATTAAAAACTTGTGATGGAAATTGGACTTGACTAAAATGCATCTTCCATTGTTTAAAATGATCTAGATGCTATTGTAGTTTCTGAGCATAGTATTTGATTGTGACTAACATGCCCCAGTTAGTATCAGTTCTTGAGGAATTACTCTAGAATAGGCTGTGTAGACAAATAGATAATTTCTGTCAGATATCAGGCAGTTTTCTTCTGAAACTGACCTACTGGGAGTTCGCTCCATCTGTGATGGGCTGACCCAGTTTAGCCCACAGCCCACTATTCCAACTGTTCCACATCCAAAACATATGCGCTGAGGCAGGGGGATAAACGATCATCACTGTGTGGGACTGCGATATGCACACTTCAGACATGACACTGAGCTGGTCACATGTCTGTGCTCTGCCTTTAACATATGCCAATAGTGCCCTCAGGATTCTCACTCTGAGTGCAGGCTGCGAAAACAGGAAAAGGCTTTTTCTAACATTTGTCTGTTTGAAATACAGCAAACTGACGCTTTGTGGTTAAAGATCGAGACGTGGAAGGTGGTGGGGTCTATTGTCTTGAACTATGAGATAGAGAAGGGCTTATTACCAGTTAGGGAGAAGGCATGGAGGAGACAGGGTAAGATAGTGATTAAAACTGAGAACTGCCAAGGGAGCTACACAATCTTTTGGCTAGACTAGGGACTGACTGGAAGCCTCACATAGATGCCAACTGGTCTGTGCTTTATGCTGGCAGGAAGGGGACATAAACTACTTTGGTACTTAGAACT